GTTAATTTGGCTTGAGAACCGAGACGAAACAGAATGATTTAGATCTTGAGTTTCAACATAAAATAGAAATTCTAGCCTTGGAAAAGGGTTGTAGATTTATGAAGTGAAAAAGTAGAGTCGGTCGTTTCAACAGTGTTGTTATACTATGATTCTAGTAGCTGTTGGTCCCCCTAGTTTGGTTTCGGGATTTTCTGGTAAGAAATGTAGAAATATATTGAAGTCTTCATAGCATCTGTTCATCACAAGAACTACAGGACGTGCTTTGAGTCTCACTAGACTCGATTTGTGAAAGGAACGGAACAGAAATTCAAAAAKGAAATCACAAAAAGGGAGAGAAGAGAAAACGAATATTAAAAAGAATGGGAAAAGAGAGGGAAAAGAAATGCATCTATGGAAAAGAATAAAAAAACTTGGCTAAACCAATATAAATTAATTTTAACCAGRTTTATTTTGACATCAAATTAAGCAGAAACGAGCAGTAAAATTTAAGCTTRAGTAAATAGAAATTTGCTAGAAAAGTATTATCAGTTAACCTACGAACATCGCTATCATAAATCTTACTTTAATGAGCTTTTAGAATTATTAAATTTGACTTACAACTATTAAAAATACACTTACAATCATAAAAAATTCAAATGATGTTAAAGTGAATATACCTAARCAAACAGACGTGAGTCAGGGATTTTAATCTTTTTTTAARTTCACTTTTCTAATTCATTTGWTATCGATAATCTTTTTATACATAAYGTAAAAATAATAAATTTCATATCKTAGGATTTTAATCTGGAACAAACGTTTTTTTAGCTATCATTTGATTGCACTTGTCGATGTCATTTTATTTTGACTTTGAAATTGGAATTTTTTTTAAAAACTCTCCCGCTGTTTGATGATCGGTTTCACCTGTTATCAAAGTAATACAGTCAATTCAAAAAATGTTGTCGTCGACCAGCTCAAGCCTGCGCGACTGGACCGAAAGGAACTCTGGGTAGCAATCATTGAAGCCGAGTTGACTCCATAATTTTATCTGACTAGTTATGCCTGGTTTACAGCACGAACCTTCGTAGGCGAGCGGGAAGTGTCGAAGGAGACTTTTTGTTAATGCCTTCATATTTTCGAAATTGTGAACTGAATCATTTGTTTTCCTTTCCCTAAACTCAAAGACATGCATTTGATGGATTGTTTCTGGCCATTATTATCTTATTACTAGCGGGAACAATTAATTCAGAACGAATATTTAACCGCTTCAGTGATTTTTACCCATATTCCTTTCGGTCCAGTCGCGTAGGCTTGAGCCGGTCGACGACAACGTTTTTTGAATTGACTGTATATATTCAATCATTCTATAACAAAGCAACTCTGTTTATMAAGTTTAATATTGATTTTTGATATATCATCACGTACCTTGCGAAAAGGAATATATTATCATCGAGAGCACCTAAGAAAATGATGTGATTCAACAATAACACGATTTTGTAATCCAGAATCAAGGCACTTCAGCTTGTGTACACTCACTCAAAAAAGATAAAGTGAAGTACGAAAATAAGGAGTAATTCCAGCACGTTCACAGGACTGAACTGATCCCTAGSCCTGATCCGCTGCTGCTCATGACGTACTGCGTGCTGCTTGTTACAACGTAAATTCATCGTTGAATGAAGCCGAGCTTTCGTTATTATTCTAGCTACGCTTTATATACATATATATATATATATAAATTTGAACCGCTTAGAACTGCGTTCTTTGAACTTGAGTTGTGCGCTATTAATAATAATAATAATAATAATAATAATAATAACAATAACTAATGAATTTCTATAGCGTTGTATCATGTGTATTACATTCTATTACGCTTTACAATAAATTTTCAAACATAAAATATAGAAATATATATAGAAAMCCCCGCACTCTGTCCAAGCCAGCCCATCAGAGCCCCAAACCGTGGCTACTGCTAGTGCTCGCCAAGCCGATTCAGACAGAGTACCTGGGTTTCACAGAACTTAAACTATTCTAGTTTTTTTATACGCAAAGCGAAAATTAATTTTTATACATCAAAAATAAATATTTATGTAAAAACTACTGGACTTGCTTGATAATTTTTTCTTTTCTTTCAAGTTGCACGCTATTYTAGATATTATCTTTTATACGCAAAGCGAAAATTATTTTTTTATAAGAAATGTCAGTATATTATAAAAAATATATTAAGAGAAGCTTGGTAGAAGGTGGTTTTTTAAAATTCATTCAACTTCTTTGAACTAGAATAAAAGGTTTCTATTATTTACCAGCTATTGTTTTTGACTTAAATTTCCGCTTCAATCATTGCGTTTTAATTTGAACTAAACTCTCAAATCATTAATGAAGGCTATTCATTTTAGAGTTCTTTCAAAAAAGATCAATTTGATAATTTTTTTAAAGTATCCATTTATTTTGTTTTATTTCCAATGTTAACAAAGAGGAAATCTGATTACCAGCTCCCACAGGGAAAAACATTAAAAGATAAGTTTGATAATTRCTTTGCTAAAGGCTTTTAAAATATGGACAAAGTAGCGCATTATCTTTGTATTAATCAT